TTTCTTCTTGCATTTTTTTTTTTGCATGTAGCACTTGAAACAAAATAAAGATATATTAGTCAAAAAAATGAGAAATTTTCATATTTTTATATTTTTTATTTTTTATTTTTTATTTTGCGCTTGATATATATATATTTCATGAAAAGTCTTAAATAAACTTAAATGAAAAATCAAGTCCTAAAACATAAAGGATAAGGCTAATTAAAAAATATATTTTTTTGATAAAAATTTGAGTTATGACATAACTTTGATATAAGTATATAATATATTATATTTTACTTTTACTTGAATGAGTTTTTTTTTTATAGATATTTTATTCTTCTATTGATATATAAGTAAACTTGTAAAATAAAATTATCTCACATCACCTACAAATAAAAGATAAAGCTTATCAACACTTTATATAAAAAAAATACTTAGATCCCACGTCGTTTAAAAATAGACAATATAATTTATAAATACTTTATATAAGAAAAGATTTAAAATATATTAGCCAAATTTTTTAAGTAAGTGTTAGATTTGGGTTAAATAATTTTATTAATGACCTTTAAACATTTCATTATTACAATAATAATTATTATTAAAATTATTTGAATTAAGTATATATTTTAAAATAATAATAATTAATTTTATATTAAAAACTATATTGATTTTTAAATTTCATTTTTGGTGAATTATTTTTTAATTAAGATAAAATTATTAATAATTTAAAAATTCTGTCAAAAATAAATTTGTGACAATTTTTATTGTCAAATTAAAAATTTTTGTTTTTGGTCATGGAATAAAAATGTTACGAAAGAAACACTATTTGTATTCAACTTGCCCCTTTTACACCCGCTTTGAAACTCGTGTCCTTCTTGTGACAGGTAGCAACTCGATTTCACATCTAAACTGGCAACCCACTTTTAACTGGTTACTTTTTTCTGAGTTACATTTTGTTTTTCAGCCTTCATGCTTTTTCTATTTTAACACTTTGTTTGTGTCTCTTTATCTCTCTACTCTGTTTCTCTTCCTTACCCTATGCATTTTTTCCTCCTTTCCTAAATCATTGCTCTCTGAATTTATTTTGGGAAAAAATAGGAATTCTATGAGAGAACACACTTTTTCCTTGGCTGATGCTTGGAAGTTGGAATCACTTGCTGATTATCCATGGAGCTTTCATCTGCATCCTCTTTCCCGTAGCTAAAAATATATAATATTATATATATTAATTAATTTTACATGATTTATTTAACATTAATTTTTTGATTTTTTAAAACTCATTATAGAGTTAATACCTCGAACAATGCTTGAAACCTACAATGTTCCTACATTTTCCTGTTGTTGAAAAATTAATTTTAATTAATTAATTAATAATTAGTTACAAAAATTAGGGAAGTGATTTAATATTTAATTAACAAATTTATGAGTTAATTACTTTTTAATACACATTAGCATTTTAATCCATGTTGCATTTCTTAGTAATATTGAGATTTAAAAAATGTCATTTTAATGG